TACTGCGTCGCGTTGTAGGTGAGAGGATGTGGCCGGCAGGAAGTTCATTGTGTATGGCTACACATATAATGTTGCATGCCGGACGATCCTGCATATTCAACGTAACATCAGGCTTGTCGCGCGAGAATGCAGAATCTCTCGTTCGATATTTCATATTCTGTATGTAAGAGTGCAAGTATTCATTTTACGATGCTGACATTCATTATCTCTGCAAAAATTACTTCCGCAATCTAAGTTATCTATTATAAAATTGCAAATGTTGCATTATGTTATTATGTTTACATATTATTCGATGACTATTTAAAGAAATATATTCGCAAAGAAAGTTACACGTCACAAAATAGATGCATATCGCATTGCGAATACTCGGAAATGTTTTCCTCGCGCATATTAGATACAACTTAAATTATGCGATAATGTTAGAGCGTTTTAATAAATCGTAGACTGACGGAACTCGCTATCTGTCACTTATCTATAGGTATTTGCATTGTTTTGTGATAGAACTACATGCGACTACACTTTAGTTGAACGTTTCTTGTAATACATGAATACGCAATGATTGCTTCTTGTTAAGGTATAGTTGATATACAACTGTCAGTGCAATGCACACATTGAATACATCACAGTAGATCAATATCGTAACACTTTAAATTTTCACATATTAACAATAAAATTTTTTGGCACAAAGAAACTTGGATTCTTTTATCAAAAATCGCTTATTTGATACTCAAGTGCATTTAGTCAATTTTTTAGTCCTAGTTTTCCTATTTACACGAATCTTATAAAATCTGTTTTCTCGATATTGAATAATCGAAAATTTCTTCTTTACTCCTAATTTCTATAAACTATCCGTACTTTGATTTGTTATTTCTGTTAATATCGCGACATATTTAGAAACAGCGTGACAAAACGTAGAAACAGCTAAATTACGACGAAGAACGATAAATTATTTATTACGTTAAAACTTATCATTACCAATTCGAGATTAGAGCGTCAGGGCCGGCGTGCGTGAGACTAAGACGTCTAAAGAGAATTTCTCGTCGTCGTTATGCAAGCTTAAGGTCATCCTCTAAACATCACCCTGAGATAATGATAAGAACTTGCCACTGGTGCTTATGTGTTTAGTAAATAACACGGGCGCCTCATTTTTGACTAGCGGTGAGACCATTTGAAAACTTAAATTATCAGGATTTTTTTAAACCAAATAACATAAAATATGTAATGTACAAATAGGCAAATACTTGCCCTTTGCACCTCAATCAAGAGAAAATTTTTCCACAAGTTATCAAATTTCTTATTAATTTATGTAGAAAATTAAGTATTTTACATTCTTGAAGAATAAAAACATAGTGTAATTAAATGATATTATTTTAATCACTTTTATCACAGAGGTTAACTATTTGATAACTCAGAAAAATTATATAAAAAAATCTCTTTCAGATTAATCTTAATAATGCTTTTTTTGGAAAGCGATATTTTCCGGTTCGTACATCTCTAAATATGAATATTTCAAAGATTACAAAAGGAATTTAATAAGAGTTACGGGAATTATAATCGCAGCGTGGTCAATCCATAAATTACTGCGCGTTCTTTTTGTCGAGCAAGAAGTGACATTCGATCGAGATGTTATCGAGCTGTTTTGAAAAGTTTTCTTTGATTATTTTGAAATTGACGAAGGGAGAAGGTATAATAGATTAGTAAAAAATTAAATTATGTACTTTAGATAAAGAATCGAACAAGTGATTTCTGGATCACGCTTCTCTTTATCTGGTGACGACGGTATAATTGAATCGCTAGCGCGCGGACGAGAAAGGGTTGCGAGAGTTCGATGACTTACAATATCGCGCAACTGTCATAAAACTAATTGGAGTAAAAATGAATTCTTCCGCCTGATCGTGTGCGGTCTGCATATTCATCGACAAATAGCGTCGCAATTCGTGCAACGTCGTTTCCTCGAAGAAAAGCGCGATTTCATAATTGCAAGTTTCGCTTTAAAGCCAATAATTTAAAATTATTTTAAATATACTCGCTTCAGTTATTTTACTTGCGGTTGTTTAAAAAGATAAAACCGTTTCTCATAGAGTTATTTTTATATCAAACGTTATCAATAACTGCACCAAACGCGATACTTTTTACTTCTATAAGAATAAGTTTATAATTTTTCTTATGTCTATATATTAAAACATGTTTTGTTTTTCTATCAAATAAGGAAGAATTTAAGATTGAATTTAAAAAGAATTTAAAATTGTTGACATATTTATCTTTAGATATGATAAATCTTTGATAACTAATATAAATATAAGAATTTTAACCTCACCGATTACATCAATCGTTGATATATATTATAAACATTTGAATTAAAACATGATTGACGATATCTATAGATTGCATATTCTTGTAAGAATAATCGTGATTTGATTTCAGAAAAAACGTTGGCAACGATCTTTTTGAGAGTTAAATTGATCATTGGTACCAATTCCGTTCTCGTCAATTGTCAAACGCACTGATTAAAACCTTTTTATGGCGAGGCCTTTCGCACGCTGTGTTGCAATGGGCCAGTTTACTTAACTACTTAAATGTATCGAAACAAAGTGTTACTTGCTTCTTGAAAATATTCTTTGAAAATTTTAAACTTGAATTTTAATTTTCAAAATATATTAAAATAGGCCTTTGACACGTCACTTATCTTAAATAATTTTATACATATTATAGAAACATTCTAAAAATTCTGCTTGAACTCTTGTAAGACTTTTGATGAACCAAAAAAGAGTAACCAAATATTTTCAGAAAAATCAATTAAATTATGTTATATATTAATAACTTCAGAAGTTCAAGTTGAATATCAAGGTACGCGCGATCGATATAATTTATATAATTAATAATAATTCAAGGCGACGCGCGAGAAAACAACGTTTTCGTCCTTCTTCGTAGGAAAGGGATTAGATGGCCCTGTATCCGTTACGTGCTCGTCTTTCATCCTCGACGCTATGCTTATGGGCTGCCATGATGCGCCGTCGTGTAGTTAAGTTAATTAATGAATGGTACAGTCGGGCTCGAGAGTGGACTTAAATTGATACGTCCTTCGCCGTTCGCGCACGGCCATTTTCGTACCGCCGCCGCTCGCCTCGCAGCTGGGGATGCTTAGAATCTATTTTTCTTTCAGCACCGATCATTTTCGATCGCTATTTCAGCTTCGATATTAATTGAACATCTATGTCCGAAAAGTATTAGCGTATAAAAAGCATACGCTGGATCAAGAATATAAAACTTCAATGAAATAAATAATTTTGTGAAGTAAATAATAACTTCGAAATATTTTACATATAATTCTTTTAGAATGTATATGTATTATTTGCATTTGTATTGAATAATTAATCTTTTATCGCAACAGCATTTCTATTTAATTATTAAGTATACACTGCATGGTGCACGCATGCTAAAAAGAATGTTGGATAGCGTAGATAAGTGTGGCATTTGAAGCCGAACAAATAAGAATGTTAAGATTCAATTAAACCTAAGCACGCCTACTTCAAGTACGCGAGTTTCTTGCGCTTCCGATAAATTGGCAGATAGTGGCGAAAAATTGCGTCACTGCTGCAAGGATACGCATACGTGCGCTGCATCGTGAGAAATGCAAGTAGGTCACCGGTGTGATAAAATCGATGAATCGATATAAATTTCGAGGATCGCGGATCACGCATATTGTGCATTGCGCTCTTTGAATATTCCTCATTAATTAGCGCGTCACGCTCAACGTGAGAGTCAAACAAATAGTGAGGTGAAAACATCGAGTGAGCACGCAAAGTGCCATTAGATTTCTAACGAGAAAACATTCATATTTAGAAAATTGAAGAATAAAACTTTTGTTAGGAAAATCAGCTCTGAATTTTCCCAGAAATATGTAGCATAAGAAAAGTAATTTTAAATCACTTTTGTAATGACTATAAAATTAATGAATTTAAATTTCGTAGAACATTCATGAACCAACCGACAGAAAATGATATGCCAATCGTAATTATAAATAAATATTAAGAAAAATTAAATCTATCTTTTTCTTAATATAATTTATCATCTGTAATATTTAATGCTGTATTGCAAATTAAAATAATCATATGTCACGTAACACAACGTGCACGTGTTTATAATAAGATAGTATAATGCGATTAAAGGTAGCCATAAATAACATCGATAAGCGAAACGAAAGTTCGATGGAAACCAAAAATGTCGTAATCAACTCGTAATCGTGCAACATTGCGACTTATCGGTATACAACGACGATTTCGATGTAAACTGTAGACTGAAATGCAAGTAAATAAACTATCACCTCGTTATCCGAATCTATTATCCGTCAACGGCTCTTATTTTGCGCGCGCAAAAATGTACGCACTCGTTTGGTTGTTTTATCTAGCGAAAAAATTCCGCACTAACCATGCAAATTAGTGCGGTTTTTTTTCCTCAATGCTTTACGTGCCAAAAATAAATAGAATCACGACTGAACAAACTTTCTGTTTCTAAAAGTAACTCCCAAGAAAAACTTGTCTCACGATAAAGTTTCAATTGTCTTATATACAGATTCAATTTTATATCATAACAAAACAAGATTGTCCTAAAAGTAATTCATATTTAAAAAAATAATCAATTAAAGCTTCATATTAAAAGTAGATAACAAGGAATTTTATAAATATCAAAAATAAGTTTCTAACTTGAATCTTAGAAACTGCTCTCTTTTTGTTACAAAAAATAATTTTATGTTACAAATAAAAGTCTAGGGAATTAGTTGCACACAACTAAAAATGTTGATTTTTATATTTTTAAGAAAAAAAATTCTCAATTGCTCAAGGAATTCATAGACAAAAATGCAAAAAATCCAAGAAACTGATTCTTTAAATTCTAAATATTTTTCTTCATGATATCAAATTTTAGTTACGTATGATTTAATTATTTCAGGTAAATTACTTGCAAAATAATAAATCTTTTATCACACGCAAGAGATCTCTTACCTGCGTGAGATCTAAGTTCGGACACTTCGAAGCGCATTCCTCCTGGAGGCTGGCCGGAGGGATGCCATCCTCCAGATCCTCCGGCAAAAACGCGACGACCGCTACCGCCAGCGTCAACACCTTCAGGAGAGCGCATAATCCCGTTCCTAACATAATAATCCCCTCCCCCCCGCGGGTCCTTCCGCGCGATCCTCGGCCGGTTCAGCTAACGATGATCATCGCTCCTCGCTCGATCTTCTCGATGTTTCGGATGCGCTAATCGAAGCGATGCTCCCTCATGTCTCTCGGGAAATCTTGCGAAACGCGTCGCGACGCCCGTCGTCGTTACTGGTCGTCGCCGTCGTTCGCGAAGTCGCGTGCCGAGCAATCGCATCAACAAGTGCCGCGGTATTTGCGATCAAATTGGTCACTTCCGTTAAATGTCCGGAAACGAATAGGCGGCGATATAGTTGGCGTCCCGGGAAATCCCCGAGAAATTACAATGTGTAATTACCGCGAATAAAGCGATGTTATCGCTGGATTGCTTGAGCGACAGCGAATTTCAGCACGAACTTATTCACTCGACGCACATGCGCAAATATCCTTATCAACTTTTCTCGTCATCGAGAAAACAAAAAGAGAGATAGGGAAAAGGAAAGAGAAAGAGGAGAGAGTCACTTTCCACGTGCGCAGTTCATGAACCGTCAGTTTTCAATATCATTCGCTGAGATTTTCCTCGCGATTGATCGCGATGCTTCTCACGATCAAATTATAGAGATGCTGATAAGTAAATAATCACTGTTTTTCTCAGATGAGAGCTAGTGACGTTGCGAAGTGACGCGCGTACATCCGGTTGCAACGAAGACAGCAATATACACATAATCTTCCTCCGTAACTTCTTGTAACGTTCGAGTAACAAAACGATCGGGTGATAAGAAATGATCGTCGTCCGAGCGCGAAACTGCGTCGAACGGTTACTTCGTTTTCGCGACACCGCACAAAGTCCACCTACTCAAATCACGATTTCTGCACTGCGAGATATTCTGCGCATCGGCACTTCAATCCCTCCGTCGATTCGTAAATCACAGGATCATCGATCTCTCGCCGTTACTTTCGCCGCGATTCGAAAGGCGCAACTTTTTCAGAGTTTTATCAATTCTTTCTTTTTTATCAAAATCTACAATGGTCATGGTCGCGTTTCATATTGTTTTTACTGCACACACACTTCGGAATCTATTACTTTGCGATTGTTATTCCTGCGAACGGTCGTCTGTGACGTTTGTGTCACGCGGCTCGGAGTCGGACGGCGCGCAACGCGATCGCGCTGTTCGTAGCTGGCGAGCATAAGAGCAACTGACTCCGAATGGCCACTCTAGAGTCAACCATCCCCCACCATCGCGTCCATGAGCACCCTTATCTGCTGCACTCCGCTTGTCAATTCTCCTCGGCGAAGGTACTCCGAGGAGCGCGCTTTGTGTGGGTGCGAGCGCAAGGGAGGAACGATCCGGAGATCCGTTCATGCGGCACCGACTACTGACTGACTGGTCAATTGGCAGATTGACCTGTTCTTACTATCCTCGTAAACTTTCATTCATCCATTCGCACGTGCCGATAGTTGTCTTCGAGAGAAATGTAACGGGCATTTGGATGATATTTTGTAGAATAAAATCACGCAAGCGTGTTTTGATAGCTCTGATCGATTCTTATTTGTAACAATTCAGATTATTTAAATATTAAAATCTTAAAATCTCGAGTAACGTATTCTTATAAGATATATTTATTTGAAGTAAGAAATTTTCATAAAACAGAGCTTCGAATATTTTAGATAATGGTGAAGTCAATATTGACGTCAATATTGACGTCAATACAAGATAACTAAAATAGAATTGCGATAAATTTTGTAATAAAGTTTTTTTGAACAATTTCAGAATTTTTTAAAAATTTTCCCCTTCGTATAATTCGCGATAATACTTTTCTTTATCACATTTGCCGCGCGCTTAAAAGAGAAATTACGATCAATTAACGTCGTCGAGTTTAGGACCAACCTTGCGTTTCTGCGAACCCTTTAGCCCTCCATCGACTGTTATTCTCGCAAACACGTTTGTTAGTCGTGAGCCCATCAAAATGGTGACTCATTTCGACAGATTAAATCTGCGGACGACGAGAGTCAGTCAGTATTGTGGCGTCATTGTCAGCTACGCTTCTTTCTTTGCGACGACTCAAAGGAACGCATATCTATAATATATTCGATCTTCGACATCTTCGTCGAGTTCAATAAATTTTCTTCCGTTAAAGGCGCCAAAAAAGGTAAACGAATACATATTACATATACTACGTTCAAAACAGTCTGTTACACAGGAAGTTGTATAGACGATTATAAATATTTTGAAAATTAATATACTTTAAATGAACTTTCTCATAAGATTTGTTTGTAATACTAAATTATTTTGTAATAATTGAGATAAGATAAGACGTGAAAATTTTGAAATCTAAATTCTAACGGCCAGAAACCAGAAAAACTATGCAACGAATGCGAGTTAATCGCAAGTAAAACTCTCCTGCTTAGATTAGTGGTAATGTCTTAACGTCTTAACGTGTTAATGTCTTGGCCGCTGCTTGCCTTCGCGGCAGACGGAACATGTGCGAATTCTTCGTCTAGGTACGTCACGTATCTGCCCGTACAGAAATATATATTATCTACATTAGTACTAATAGAGTCCGAGTTCCTTGATGAATAACTTTGTTACTATAGCAATTTTGCACAGGTTAAAAAAGAATTTCTTTTAAAAAGTAATACGATTTCTAAGATTTCTCTTTTCTCCAGCCAATCAAAGGTGCAATATTTATAGCACATAGATTACGTTTGTAATCAATAGATTTTTTTGCTGTCGCAGCAAATTTTGTTAATCATCACATGAACAGTAAAAGGATTTTCTAAAAATGCTAATTTTATATGCTGAATGTAATTGAGGTAATATAAATGTTGAGATAAAGTAACATAATTTTGTTAAATCTGCAAAGTATTTTGATATAGAATAATAACCAATTAATTATTATTCTCTCATCAAACAAGTGATAATTTATTCATTTCATTGTATTAACAAAATATGCTTACTAAATAAATTATTTGGCATTAAAAAAAAATTCTACCTTTACAAAATTTTTCTGTTTTACTAATAAAATAGATCCTACTGTAATAATTCGGCATAATAATGATAAATTCAGCATAATAGCGATATTTACATTAATAAATTACTTTTACATTAATAAATTAAATGTACTGCGACAGTAAAGTACTTTTTGCCATGTAAAACCGCGCACAAGAGGATTTATATTAAAAAACGAAAGAAATTTCAAGATAATGATGTTAGATTTTTTCGCGCAGCACGCGCGTAGGATCGACCCAACTAGAACGGATTAAGGATGTAACGTTTGTTGTAGGCGCATAGATCACGATGATGAGCCGTAACAAGTACGTGTCGAGTACGGACATGGGGTACAAAATGCTCGACAGGAGTGCGATCCGAGCGAGCGAGCGAGCGAGCGAATGCGCGCTCGCGCGCGCTTGCACTCGCGCGAGCAACTGAGTGAGTTGGAGGTCGGAGGTGTATATTGGCCATTTCCGCAGGAAGCCCTAGGTAACCTGTAACCGCCATTGAGTTTCTAACTAAACGTGCCATGGATCTGTGCTATCGTTTCATAACATACCAGCGCTCTAGATTCGCGCCAGTGTTGCACGTCGGTGCTCCCGAAATGCTAATTCGCCGATCTCCGCTCCCGATCCGCCTCGCGACGATTCCGACCTTTCCACCAATTTGCAGAAATGAGCGACATTAGTCTTTCCTGATTAACGTAATAATGAATGCTTATCCAGATTTAGAATCTGAATTTTAAGCTCTCACACTTTAGAAAACAAAACTTTTCAGTATATTACGATGAATGTATAATATCATTTTATCGTAATATAATAAGAAGTTAGAGAAAATTATTTTTAAATATAAATTAAATCCTTCTAAAGTGTGCCTAATTCTTTGAAAAAAAATATGTAGCACACTTTAGAAAAATTTAATTTATATTTAAAAGATCATCTCTCATTTCCCTCATCTAATTTTTAATCATAAGTATTCTCTTTTGTAAATATTATATCTTCAAAAAAAATAAAAGTAAAAATTTGAATAAAATATACATTTATCAATATATAGTATGATAAATGAAAGAAGAAAACCCTTCAAAACATTCTCTAACATGATAAAATCAAATGTTGTTGACAATCTGATTAAAATAGAGCCGTATGTTAAATACATGCAGCACATTACAATTTGTATGATGTTTGTGCTTGGTGGCAAAACAATTTTTAGATTTTTAGTTCGATGCAAAGTATGAGAAAGTTATTGGTATGTTAAGTGAAAAGAAACGTGGATATGTTATACAGTTGACGCTTGATTTGTGAATAGCGGTGACTCCTGTTGACATTTGTTTTGCATACAAGATAATTGTGAGATAAAAGGAGAAGCTTTTAGACGCGAGTCTCGTCTAGGCGGTATTAGTTCGGATCTACCCTGCTTTACTCGATCCACCAACAATTCGGATCTATTACGCCCAATAAAGTATATCAAAGAGAAGGAATGCGCCCTGAGCCAATGATAAATGTGGTGTTAGACCGTTCGTGCGCTAATGCACACGAGCATGTGGGGTGCGGGTGGATGCCTAATTTAGATTGAATGCAACTGTCAGGATTGTCACTACGCTTACAACATACACTTATATCTCGAAATCTTAAAGAAATCTTCGATCGATCTTTGAATATTTCAATCAATTGATTGAGACATAAAACGTTGATACGCGACGTGAAACAAAAAAATTAACCAAATTATCTGTGTTATTATATCTTAGTGCATTTCATGTTTCCTAATAACAGTTTGTCTTTTATCTTTTACGATTTTAATACACGATTTCGGCTACTTTCTTCTATTCGCGACTTAAATTTATTATATCAAACACTGCGACGAAAAGGTATTGTATACGTTACGCGATTTTCTACGCAATTTGATATTTGATATTTATATTTTACATTACGCCATTTTATTCATATATTTTCTGTTTTTCGCAATCAACCATCGCATAACCTAAACACTAAGAGTTAATTTTACTTCATTTATCATTCAATTTGATGCTCTGTTTCGCAATTCAAACATATTATACTTATTTTCGCCATACTTTAAACATATGCAGTTGCTACTTTAGAAGATTCATGACAATATATATAATTTAAAGCAAAAGTAAAAATTTTACCTTTGTACTGCTCTCGTTGCATTCACGTCACATAACCACAATGCATCTTCTACTTCTTTCACCGGTACTAATGTATCAATTCGTTCAGTTTTTTCAACCTGTACCTTTCACATCGATTACACCTCACACAATAACATAATCACTACAAAAAAATATTACGAACTATGCAGTTTTGTACAAAATTCGATAAATATAATTTCTGTTCAAGTTTTTCCACAACCGCGTAATCTAAACATTGACTTGAATTTGTATGATTGACAGTTACAGCAAATAATTCTGCAAATAGCCAACAGAAGTCGCTAAAAATCACTTTAACACGAAATCTGTTCTTACCATCAATTGCTTTAAGTTTTGTACATCGAGTTGCGTATTGTATTAAAAATGTCACTATACAAACTCTGAACTAGGCTGCATTTTGAAGAATCATTTCATGAAAATCAGCTCAAACACACATGAGCATCTATGAATCACTACAGTACAGAAGATTCAAGATGGAAGCCGGTGACAATAAAGTGGAAGTTGAGCTGAATAAAGATAGAAAGTCCTATGCTGGTATACCGGAGGCCGATTTTGTAGTGAGTGTGATTTATTAATGTATAAATTATATGTTGGTGTGTCACATACGTTTACAAAATTAAAGTTCTTATTTCTAAAATTGTCCTTATTTAATGTAGTTGTTCTGTAAAAGAACTGTTATTATTTCTTCGTTTTCTTTATAAACAAAAGTACATTTACTGTAAAATATTAAAAAACATCTTATCCATTTTTTTAATTAAAACAATTTTTTATACATAAGTTAATTAATCAAAATATCAGTCAATTGATCAAACCTTATATGGTCAATAAAGGAAGCATGTGCTATTACCTAATTACCTGTGTCACTGATATCCTAATGTTTTTTCTTTTAAATTTAATTAAAACTTATATAATTACACAAAATTAAACTAAATTGAATTTATGATCTTACATTGAATTGTTTCAATACTGCAGGATGATGTGGAAAATTTCATGGCAAAACCAGAAAATGATTCTGTTGATAAAGTACTCAGGAGATTTGATGAAAGTCACGGAAAATATAAATTCATGGAATATAATTTGGTCAATAAAAGAAGACGGTTGAAAGCACAAATACCAGATTTAGAGAGATCCTTAGAAATGATTGAAAAATTACAAATTGAAAAGAACAACAGCCATGATTTGGAAACACAATTTCTACTGTCTGAACAAGTCTACGCAAAAGCTGTAATACCACCTACGGATAAAGTGTGTTTATGGCTCGGTGCTAATGTGATGCTAGAATACACTTTAGATGATGCGCAAGAAGTGCTGACCAAAAATATTGAGGCAGCTAAGAAGAATTTAGGATATGTAGAGCATGATCTAGACTTTGTTCGAGATCAATTTACTACGATGGAAGTCAATATGGCGCGTATTTACAATTGGGAAGTGAAACGCAGGCAAGCGGCAAAGCCTACATGAAAACATTCAATCTTACTCATATAAAATTTGCCTAAAACCCAGAAGGTATATAAAAATTTAAAATATTTTCTATTTAATTCAGTAATTAAATCAATTTATGACATGTTAATTCTAATACTCTCCCACCCCTACTATTTTTTTACATTATAGTATTTTTAATTTCATTTTTTAGGACATACTATATATATGAAGAACAAAATTAGTGAATATAGCTGCCATTGAAATTGGAAAACTCAGAAACTTATTAAACTATAGATTCTTAACACAATATTATAATTTATACACATTGCTATAAATACATTTGGATTTCTAAACAGATTTCACAATTTTGTATACTAATAGCAATTTCTCTTATTCACCATCTTTTATAATTTCATCGTTTATATTGTATGTTGTATTAAATCTAATAAAAAAAAACCTTAACCAAAATTATTCGACAATGTTCATAATTAAAAAGCTACAAGTATTTTAATAAACATAAAAGAAATATTTATTTGGACTTTGAGATCTAGTCTGTACAAACCACATTTTCCATTTTAAGTACAAAAGAATACTTTGCATGAATTTGTCCTTAGGAAAAAAAATTATATGAAAACTAGAAGTGTGTGTTTCCATTTCCTTAAATAAAAATATATGATGAATGAACATATGTACCCAATATACATGGAATGTTTGCACAAAAGTTTAATGACTTCTTTCTTAGAGTCTAACTTTCTTAAATGTAATTTATTATTTTATATTATTTTAATAAGGCACATGGTCAGGCTGACTATTATGTCAGTGTCCAATGGGGACTAGCATGAAATCAGGTTGAACACAGATCATTCATCTTAATTATTCGGTTGTCGGGACAATTGTCTCGTCCTTCGTCTGTTCATATTTTAATAATTTTGATTTCAGTTCTGCAATCTTAGCTTTGGACTCTTCCAATTCCTTCTTCAAGTTTTCAGTATTATCTCCCTCAGAAGCATTATCTACAATACCTCCAAGATTCTTGCGAATATAACTATAGCATAGATAAGGAAATTTTTCTCAAGATTTACTATATAATGTAATATCAAAGAAATTTTAATTTTAATTGATATTAAGATAAGGATACTCTAAAGCATCAGTTGGCTTTTCAGTCTCTTCATAGAGCGATACAAGGATCTTTGTAAGGGCATCCATGACACCAGATCTCTCTAGATACTTGCGATATTCCTCTCGTTTGGCAGTGACCGACTGTAATACAAAAAATTTTATATTGCTTTACATAAGAAATCAAAAGGATTAAAATCACTGATATGTTAGAATCAGTATAAGATATAGTACCCAATGAAAGATACTAAAATTTTTACATTATGTATATTATAAATTAATTAAAATATATCTAAATTCGTATCACAGGTTATGTATAATCTATAATACTCAGGTTATGTACAATCTATAATAACAAAGATTTTTTTATTCTCATTATTTCTTTAATTTATATAGAGATTAAAAGCTGAAACCAACATTGTTCAAACGGCTATGAATTATCGATTACCAGAAATAATCCATTCCAAATTATCTATATTATCTGGCAGGCTCGCTTTCAGCCGTCAAACAATAGCTTTAATATTGTAATTACCAAAAAGAGCGCCATATTCTACGTTCTTATGATTCTAATGATCTCGCGAATGTATTTCACGGAATACACGTGCTAACCTCGGTATACCGGCAAAAAATAAGAAATATAGTATAAAATGGCCGGGAACGCCAAAAGTGATCGGTATTACAAAAATGAAACGGCGACACGCATAAATGATGCTCAAGTCCTTCCAAACCCGATGCAAACCCAGCAATCTATTCTGAAAAGCGTAAATTAATTAAACGATTACCATTTTGATGAATTCTCGGTTGTCTTTCACTCGTGCTGCGTCTCAGAGAAAGGATTGGAAAAAATCTTTCAACACGTCGTAAGCAGTTTGTCTCGGCGTACGAGAACGTAGTCAAAGTCAAAATAGCGCCTGTCTCTTATCACGCCCAAATGGTTTGCAACCAAAACTTTCTAGGTAGCTATCTATAGTAATTTACACTTGCGGATATCTTCGCAGCTGGATTCTATTGTCCCAGCAATTTTTGCAAACGATAACGCCGCTTATTCCGTGTTTGCAGAAATTAATATTCGAACGCGAAAACTTAGAATTAAGAAATCACATGTACTTTGGCGCACATCGCAAACTGATAAAAAAGAGAATGAGAAATCGCCAAATACCAATCTTCTATTAGAATTCCTGCGCACTCCTACGGAAAAAGCGCGAAGTTGCGGTTCAAAACTACCAATATTGAAGAATGAATTATTCCCGGTCTCATGGGAATAAAGGTATATTCACATGCATAGCATATAAGCATATGCAAATCTATTTGGATATACCCTAAGGCCAGAACTACAATAGGTGTAGTAAGCTTTAAGCCATAAGATATTGATCAATCGTAGTCAGTTATTCTTCATACATTCGTCTGTGATTGGACAATATCTTACGGCTTAAAGCTTACTACCACTTATTGTAAATCCGATCTAATGCAAGCGAACGCAGTATAGCCAATACAACACTATACTCCGAGTACGTATCAAGATGGCGGCGAGAAAGGATCTGGAAAATTTTCTGGGTGAATAATTACGGTAATAATTATGTTTTTGTCAATACAACAGCTCCTTTATTCGTTATTGATCGACAATCTTATGCACATTTATGGTTATTATATCTACAATTCGCTATATTATATTTAACTACATTCTAGGCAACAAAAGGTTATGGCTAAGTATAATATCGATTATTACTGATGTCTTGTAATAAATAATTGGAAAACTTGTCACATAATCGTATGTAATGTAAAGAAAATTGATTTATATGAATTTGCTAATCAAGACTATAATTGGAGAAATATATCATTCACATCAGAGATTGAGACCGATATATATGAATTTCGATTTTATTGCATTTGGCAGGTAAAAATATACTTTGTTCGTGACAATAGAATCGTTGTAATTGGCATGTCAATTTGTTCAAAATTATCATGTGATAAACTCAATCGAGACTACGCTGAGCGTCAATGCTTTACATTTCTCGATTATTGTTAATATTTTTGCTTTTGGATTCAGTTTTGGCTTTATTAACATCATAAATTTTTTAATCTTTTAATCAATATCATTATATGCGAATGTAATATAATAGAATGTATATAATTCGAAGATTTGTAATCAGAAGTTGGTAGTAATGACGTTATATGCATATTTCAACTTTTAGTAAATATTTAAACACTAACGCGCGCGCGCGTATTTTGCGCGCTTAAAGTTACCTGACCTGCTACGCAGCGAGTGTAATCAAAATGGCGGACAACCACTAGCAGTGTTTAGTTTGTAATCATTGTGCTTGAAAGTCAATTGCAAAACGTGGTAGTATTACAATCGTATACGAATGTTGATAATCACCGACGGTCTTCCGACAAACAGCGCGCGATGTGGTGCGGCGGATGCGAGGTTTGGACACGCACGCTTCTGACGTGCGCGATCGGCGCTTGTTCAATTCTCGGTGACTACGGGTTGAGATACGGCAAGAGCGAGTCGGAACGCGCGATATTTGACAATGCGACGCATGCGACGGTAGGCGGTCTAACATGGATGCTAATTGTTGTTTTGTCGCGAAAGCCATTCGTACGTAATCTGAACAGTATATTCTCCTGCTTCCTGCTGGCGTCGCTCGTTGACGTGGATCACTTTATCGCGGCGCGCAGTTGGCACATCCATGTGAGTAATGGATGTAAATTAAATCAGGATTTCACTATAAAAAACCGAAGCTTGTAATAACAGACAATCAATAAAGAATATGTTAATGATGCAATTAGTTTCTGTTAGAAACTAACATATATGTATAACTACTTATGTAAATTTGTCGATCACAATTCTGTATATTAATATTTTTTATTTCTATAAATTATGTGAAAAATAAGTACTTTAAAATTAAAAATTAAGATAATATCAATAGTAATTAGAAATATTAAATAATAATAAAATTAAATTAAATCAGCGAGAATGCAAAATATAAATTGGAAACAAATTGCAAAAATTCATGGAATTTTGTCTAATATTTAAAAAAATATTTATTTCCCCTTTTTGTTATATGTATTTATTTTTAAATATAATTCTTAATTTTTCTATTCTTACCCTAGAAACTTTACTGAATTTTTTTCAGGATGCCACGCATTTGCAAAAACGTCCGTTCTTACATTGCACCACGGTTCCTATTCTGCTATGGATATTTTTCATTTCACTCTCCAGTGTTTTCCATTCTCCTATGCTGGAACATACTTCCTGGGTGATACTGGCCGCTTTTCTGAGTCATCATATACGTGACGGTACGAGAAGAAGAGGTCTATGGTTCTGTCCCTTTGGATCTACCCGTCCTATTCCCTACTACCTATACGTGAGTCTTTGTATGTCCCTTCCTTATATATTACATTGGTTCATGAACCAGCATACATTTGCGCAGAAGAGTGACAGCGATATAACTGTCATCGATATATGAAATTTGTTTTATAATGTGCAATACTGTGTACAAACTGTCCATCCAATCTGATATTTTTTTTTAAACGAGAATTATAAATGACTACTGTTGCAAACTAAAAACAGTGCCATATTAATACTACAATAATCAAAATTTTTATATTTTTTGTATGTTTATATGAAAGATGACATAGGGATCAGTAAAAATTAAGTTTTCTTAGAGAAAAAGATATTACAATTACAAATATTGATATTTGCTTTAGTAAAATTTTAGATTTAATTAAATTGATATTTAATATATTGAAAGTTATAAAAAAATTACAGTAAAAACTTATTTCTTTAATTTTGATTTCTAAGAATTCTAAATTACATTTTTCATAATTCAAACAATACATGAGAAATGTAATATGTACAAAATGTGTAATATAATTTTTACACAATTTATAGATATATCTTTAAGACATAATCGCATAATTTAATGACATCACTACTTATTATCTCCTATAGACAGCATAAGTTAAATACGGTTGATGGTCAACATAAATTAAATATGGTTGACAATGTTTATAACGTGACAACAACGATGTTGTATCGTTGTGCGCGTAATGCGAAAGGGAAAATCTGAATGAAATTTTTGTAAGTTATGGATAGCAACGCGCGCGCACGACATATGTCGCACGTATAATGTTTACGCACAGGTCGTTGCAGCTGTGCAGAGTTATGAGTCCTACTGCATTTGTTTTCTATGTGTGCATATTCACGAGTCAATGCAGCGGCCTGTTCATGTTTTTATGCGGGTCGCTGGTGGTATCCATATACTTGCAAGCATTCCTAGCGTCTTGAAGTGCATATTTTGTAATGTACATGTCAATCTTTTAATCGTGAAGCGCTAATTAATGCTCACGTTAAATTAAAATAATAATCATAGCGCAACGAATCTTATATTTTTATCTCTATTTTTAAGTATGTTCTTATATATATCTAAAACAAGCCATTCCTATTTTTCCTGAAATTATTATCCTCTTTCAACAGTATGTGATAGATATACCGAATTTAAAAATATCGTATCAATAGAAGTTGATAATTGATAATTTTTAGAAGATCTAATAAATTAAGCTGCAAAAGTATAGATAGCTAAGATTTAGCTTTTTAACAATATTTTAATTTGAATATTAAATACTATACAAAAAGTATCAGTGATATTTTATAAAGATAAAAAATGGCTAGTTATTAATTCTGGGTAATATTTTACGATGCATATCGACAAATATTTTTTTATCAATTAACTCAGCAGAAACTTTATATGATTGCTACGTGCAATACTGGTTCTTTCTAAAATTAATATCTGGAGAAAATATCTCCCACTTGCGAGCTCCGATACTGAATCACTAAACACATTGATAATGTCAAGTTTACGAATCTCATTAAGTAATATTGATAATTATTATATTCAATTCTGAATGTGTGGGTGGGTGTCGCGCGGCAGCGTCTTGAGTTTGGATGATTGTAGGAATAATTTATGATATTGTATTATTATCGTATAGTGTGTCGATGATCGTCGTGGTATTCGCTAGCGGATAAGAGTATCGATGCCTTATGCAATCGAGCGTTCCTACCCACGCCACGCGGAGACGCGTCTCCGGAGGTGAGAGTGCGCGGAGGAGGTGCGGATGCCCTCAACGGCGACAAGTCGCACACGTGTGTACACACCGTCCATAACCGCGCACGGGAGGGGTTTATCAGCATTGCTTAGCTGGCACTGTTACCACCGCTTTACTTCACCTCGCTCTCGGCGGTCTCGCTTAGTGCTCATTTAACTAGCTGGTCGTTCTGCACCTGTTGAACGAATGGTACGGTTCGCCCGGATCATCGATCGCGTAACGAGGACTAACGACCGGAAGTTCGGAAACCGTTGCCCGTGCTTTTCTCTTTTCCTTTGTGTTTTAGGGGGGAAACAATTTCGATCGCGCAATCTACTCATCATCGTATTAAGATCCTCTCGTGACTCTCTCTGGAACTAAATTCATCTTTTCCTAGCTGATCGCGAACATCTCGACGAGGATCTTCTTTCAGCATCTTGCGATATAGAATGTCACTCTGTATCGCGACAGATACGCGTGCGATCGCGATAACGCGCTGATATCGATACCTTGAGCAAGCGCGGCATCTTACGCAGACGACACTGCGCGCGAGGCATGACAAGACAACGTCCGCGGGTTCGGCTGGTTGATTCATACTTACGATGGTAAGTACACGCTAGTGTCTCCCACTTTCCGTGTTTACATATCTCTCGGATGATCGCGAGGTCGATCGCACGGTCCCTGACCGCAAATCATTCTCGTAAACACACGCGAGGAATTTGCACGTGAGACGGTTTTCTTTTGTTTTCCTCGCTGACAAAATTCCTGATTGTTTTTCGTCTCGCCTTTGAATCTCGGAAATTACGCATATAGTATTCAGATTGATCGTCAATCGAAATATCGTGTGACATTATCAAAAAGGTTGTGTCTTTATAGTATAGTTTTATAACAAAAATGTATTCTTGTTCGCGAGAAGTTTCCATTTTTAGCGATCATTTACGAATGCTGCAATATAAAATCCATCTTTGCGATAGTAGAAAATTACTGCAGTAAACATGTAATTGCTTATTATCATATTCAAAATGTTTAATGAATATTTGCAAGAAAACATTCTCAAATGAAAAGTACAGAAAAGTTCAATTTCTATATATAATACTAAAACATCTTTAAATAAATATATAATAATTTATTGTATGGTCTGTTATAAATTTAGTGTAATCAGAGAGCAAACAACTGAGACTCGTTATCTTGAATAGTCAGTAATTCCATATCGATGACATATCGAGTACATGTTCCTTAATGACCGATAAATATGTTATTTGTTCTACAAGAAATAACAAGAATGTATTTGTATGCTTTTACAGATAAAAATAAAATTTAAGAGAAAACAGTTTGAGCTCGGAAGGCATTCGTAATTGAACGCTTTTTTCTTAGGTTGCTTTTCGTGGTTTTTTTCTTTTGAATAAAATAGAAGTATTTACAGATTTCAATAGATTCCGCGTTGTAATTTAACACTTCCGTTCGCAGACCTCGTTATTAGAGATGCAACTATGTTCGCGCAAGGTTGGGTGATGGTGCAAACGTCGATGAATTGCACGAGATAGATATTCATGAGATAAAATCCGATTAGAGATACGTCGGAATATCAGTTTGAGAAAAGCGTTTTATTCCGCCGCTGTTAACAGTCGTGGATAATGTTGGTGTTGCACTCAAGTGCAGTTTGTGAAATCTCTTGCAAAAATATTTTAATACATAATAGTTGTGTATTTTTTGCATTTCCTGTCGTTTTAAAAATAATTTATTGATATTGTTGTTTAAATTTTCTCTTCCTCGTTTTAATCCACGTTGAAATTGCGGTGAAATATCGCGCAAACTTTATGAAAATAGATAAGATAAATGAGTGTGGATTGCTTCTTGGATTTGATTTTTTTAAAGGGAAATATGATTCCAAACTTTATTTTCTAGGAGTCTCTCGCAGATTTGACGCTATATTTTTACATTGCATGCGGTGTCGCTGGCGGCGCGCTTATCTTGCTTTTCATTTTGGTGACCGTGCTATTCGTGAAAGTAAATCGATTAAGTGGGGACGGGTGAGTATTATTTCCTTGTCAATCGATAATCGAGGCTATAATTGAAGGCTTCGGTAGTGTGCTGTTACGGAATGTAACTTGTGTTTCATTGAGAA